CCAACGGAGAACCCAGGCACGTGTCTAGAGACGTATCGAGGACACTGTGCCTGCGCCGCATGGATTGGATGGACTGGTGACACGCTGCGCGGGACTTCAGCGGGCGCTGGCACGCGCCCTCGGCTGCTTATGCAAGGTTCGGTGAAGGGGCATCCTTCCGTGACCAAGTACCTGTCTTTTTTTTTTCTCTATAATAAACTTTTTTTTTCGGAAACACCCCGGGTAACGCGACAAAGCTAGCTTTGCGCTCACGAAGCGTAGCGTTTGTTGGTCGTCTCTTCAGTGCGCGAAGATTCCTCTCGTCGTCGTCGGCCGTCGCTGACTACTGTACCACGTAGATTAAGTACGTGCACACTTAAGTGCGAGAACCACTAAGTGCGACCTAAGTTCGGGTAACTTCAACATGACGGGGCGATTCACGGTCGACTCTGACGGGGACGTGGAAATGTCAACCCCCCCAGCCAATTTTTGAGGTCATCAAGGCTCCGGAGCTGATTAGCTGGGAGCATGCCGCTCTAATCGGGTGGTACCGTGAGTTAGAGCGCTACGTCGAGAAGATGAAGCATCGCTGCTCCATCACGGGGGAAACCTACGAGAACGTAGTGGCTACTATCAAGGGCTCCGTGCGGCGACAGACGCTGAAGAATATGGTCATATATGTGCTTAAGAAACCCATTGCGTCCGTCACCGATGCCGCACGATGCCGCCCACTCAAGAACGAATTCGTGCCAGACGTTACGTCTCTGTTTTGTGCGAACCTAAGGATGAACCTATCGATTGATGACTGTGACGCGCGCATTTTTCGCAACTACGACGATTTTAATGGTATAGTGGAGGACAATGGTCTCCAGGGCCTCGAAGGTGAAGACGACCCCGAGTACAAGAATAGGATGAAGGCCCGGTGCCGCCTCCTCGTCGACAATCTCCAGCCACCGGTCCTCAAGGTTCAACTTGGGCGCCTCATTGAGCTAGAGCAGCGCGATTGCAAGTCTGATGACGTCGCGCTCTTCGATCTGATTCTCGAGCATACTAAAATACAGCAGCGGTTCCACCGGATATCTCAGGACCATGCCGAAAGGACCGACACCAAGGGCGCAAAGGGCGAGCGAAAGCTTTAAAAGAGTGTTGGAGCTAAGACTGGGCCAACAGCGTCAGCCCCCGCGACATCGACGCGACCGGCCACTGCCGATAACGCTACTGTCCGCATGACGCGCCAACAGACGGGCACGCTGCCATACGACGGATGCCTGGTATGTAAGGGGCAACACTGGCTCAAGGACTGCCCTACTGCCACCGATGCCCAGCGTGAAGAAGATCTCCGCAAGCACCGAGAGGCTAAAGCTCAGACGTCGGGCGTCACGCGACCCAAGGCCGCTAGGTACACAGTGGTTGCAGGCACTGTCCGGATTAATGGGCTAGTTGAGATCCCCTATGCTCCAGACACGGCTGCTGACCAGAGCATTGTGCCCAAAGAAACGCTGAATTCGCTCCGAGCAATGCAGCCTACCCTTCAAGTGACGCAGCTACAAGTGGCTGTGGAGGCCGGACAGACGCAGTTGTCCGACGAAGAAGTGCTCTTGGACCTGGAGCTGACTACTGTAGCTGGGTTGGTGGTGCTACGCTTGGTGCCATGCTTGGTGCCGGCTGGAGATGGTGAAGAAGTTTTACTGGGTCGCGAGGTGCTCAAGGGACTCGGCATTGACGTGGAACAGCAACCTTCCCAGCTGGCTGACTCCCCACTTCTCAAGGATGAGGTGGACGAGTTTCCAGTGGGAGATGAACTCCCGCCACCTGTGGATGCAGTCGAGCCAATAAGCTCAGTCGACCAGCTACTAGAGCGTGCCGTCACCAATGGACTCCCCGCTGAACACATCGAGGCCGTCCGTGACCTGCTCACTGCATTTCCTGATATTTGGCGTGACGCTGTCGGTCCCGATCCACCGGCTGACGTCGAGCCACTCCATGTGACGCTGCGGCAAGATGCAGTGCTTTACCGCACCCCTTCACGGAAGTACGCACAGCTACAAGCCCAATTCATCAGCGAATATGTGAAGTCTCTCGTTGCGAATAATCTGGTGGAGCCAAACAATGCCGCACGATGGGCCTGCGCGGTGGTGCGCAGGCCAGGCACGAAGGACCAATTTCGTCTCACTATCGACTACAGGCCTCTAAACAGCGTCATCATCCTGATAGCAGGTAATATGCCCACCGCTGCGTCTCTGCTCGATGCATCGAAGAACTTCCGGAATAAGAAGGTATTTGGCCGAGTGGACTTTTCGCAAGATTGATGGCAGATTCCTCTGCACGAAGACAGTTGCGAAATGTTCTCGTTTGCTACTCCTGATGGTATCTTCACATCCACCGAGTACCGCAAGGAGCGATGGACTCCGATCTGCATTTCCAGAACCAAGTGCAAGCAAAATTAGCCCCTCTGATACCACACTCGGCGATCTTCTGGGTCGACAACGTGCTGCTCTTTGCGCCGACAATGATGGAATTCTTGCAAACGCTCTGCATATTTTTTGAGATCGTGCCCGACGCTGGTTTCAAGCTCAACATGTCGAAGTCATCACTGTTCGCGGTGGGAATGTTGTGGTGCGGTCGTCTGAATTCGGGTGAGGGCGTTCGTCACGACCCCGCCCGTGTCGATGCTCTCGCCAACTTGCCATTGCCTGCTACAGTGGCGGATCTGCAATATTTTGTCTGCGCTACTAATTGGCTGCACGATTCTCTCCCTGACTACGCGTGTAATTGCCCCGCTACAAGACAAATTAAATGCAGAACGTAGTCGGATTGGAAAGCGCAACCGGAATGTTTTTAATATGGCTACAGCGTGGTCTAGCGAGGAACGAGCTGCGTACGACGCGGTCGTTGCCTTAGTGGCGAATACTTCTCTCATGACTTTCCGGGATGCCAGCGCCGAACGGCTACTTTTCACGGATGCCTCTGCCACGGGATATGGCATTGTTAATACTCAAGTTCGTGATTGGGATTCCTCGTTGCCGGTGGATCAGCAGCACCATGAACCCGTAGTGTGCAAAGGTAGCACTTTCAAGCACTCCGAGCTCAAATGGTCGGTCGTGGAAAAAGAGGCTTTTCCGATCGTCAAAGCCTGCCAGGATCTCGAAAACCTCCTACTCCGGCCGAAAGGGTTTCGCTTATTCTGCGACCATGCCAACTTGGCGTACATTTCTGCCCCAGACGTTGAACTAAAATAACATGTTCGTAATCGGTTGCAGCGTTGGGCGATGCACTTCTGTGGCATCCACTATACGCTCGGGCACACTCCAGGGGAGAAGAATGTCTGGGCCGACATCATCTCCCGCTGGAGCACGCGTGACTCCGTGCAGGTCGTAGCCGTGCAGACGCGCAACAATTAAATTGCCCCAGTGTCCTCACTCTCACCTCTCCGCCCTCTCGCGGACGAGAACTTTGCGCTCCCATCTCGAGAAGACGTAAAGGCTGCTCAATCCGCCGCTGCACGCGAGCGTTCTCGGTTGATCAGTTTCTCGGAGGAGGAGGATGGTGTGGTGATCATCATCCACCGCATCTGGATACCCGCTGCTGCACAGGACTTGCTCGCACGACTGTTTGTGGCTGCCCACTGTGGATCTCATGGGCATCGTGATCAAGAACCGAAAATTTTGGCATTGAAGGACCGCTTTCAAATTGCACGACTGGAGACCAAAGTGGTAAAATTCGTTCGCGAGTGCCTACTGTGCAAGCAATTTAAAGGGCCTCATCAAACACCCCGTCCGTATGGTCCGTTGCTGACTCCTGTCCGGAGAAACGAGGTCGTCCATTGGGACTTTTTTACTCTTGGTGAAGGTTTTGGCGATTCGTCGTACTTGCTGGTAGTGAAGGATGGCTATCCCATTTTTCTTTTTTTTTGAACTTTTTCCGTGTACTACCCCGACCGCATACACCGCCGCTGAGGCGTTGACGATGTGGCATGCCAGGTATGGCCTCCTGGAGACACTGCTCTCCGACCAAGGAACGCATTTTCGCAATGAGATGATGAAGCACCTGGCTGCGAGACGGAAGGTGGATTTGAGATTCACCCCCATGGCTAAATGGCCCGGTTGAGAGGCTGAACAAGGACGTGTTACAAGTCTTTAGAGCCCTGTTGATGGAGTATGCACTGGACGCGAGCGAATGGCCGTATTTGCTGCCTGCGGTGCAGGCGAACCTCAACCACAAGCGCGTGCAATCGCTTGCAGGATGTGCCCCCGTGGAAGTGTTCACGGGAATTCCCGCATCGTCATCTCTTGACGCAATCGTAGTGCCAACAACACCCGAGAGAAGTGAACGTATCGTCAACCTAAACAACGTGGCGGAATTCGCTGACCAGGTCCGTATGTCGCTTCGTGCTATCTACAAGGAAGTGGCTGACGTTCGCCAGCGACAACGGCTTCGTGATATCGCTGCGCACCGTGATACCGCTGCCAATTTTGACGTCGGTGACTTTGTGCTGTGGCCGAGGATCGACAAGCGCCTGCCCAATCACAAGCATTTGAGGCATTGGGTTGGGCCGTTCAAGGTCGTCGCTACGCTGTCGCACTCGTTTGAAATCCAGCACTTGGTGACAGGGCACAAGTACGACGTTCATGCTTCCCGTCTGAAGTTTTACTCGGATGCAGAACTGGATACAGCTGCAGAGCTGCTGGAGCTGGTGTATGCTTCTTGGTGTTGACAGGCTCGTCGATCATCGCTTCAACGCTGCACTGGAGCGCTGGGGGCTGTTCGTGTCCTGGATGGGACTGTCGGCTATCGAGAACTCGTGGGAGCCTCTGTCTATGCTCCTGCAAGATGTTCCGGCCAAGGTCATATTACGTGTCTACAACCGACGAAGCTGACGAACTCCGTGATCAAGTGGAATAGTCATGTTTCAAGTCCCGCTGTGACCTAACTTTGGAGGGCAGTGTCGCCAATTACGGCCTTTCGTTCAAGGCAGCCAAGCTGTGTTCGCGTCGCCGATCTACACTTGCTGGATCTGGCCAATGGAGAGCCCAGACACGTGCCTAGGGACGTATCGAGGACGCCGTGCCTGCGCCGCACGTATTGGATGGACGGGTGGCACGCTGCGCGGGACTTCAGCGGGCGTTGGCACGCGCCCACGACTGCTTATTCAAGACACGGTGAAGGGGCAGCCTTCCGTGACCAAGTACCTGTCTTAATTTTCCTCATTAATAAATTTTCCTATTCGGAAACACCCCAGGCAACGCGACACCTCCCAACGGAGCTTCTCCTTACGGACATTTTCAGTTTAATGAGCGGGCGGTACGATGGAGCTACGGAGTGGGTCAGAGATTCTCTATTCTACAGTCAGTTCTCTAAATTTTATATCCAGGGTTCTCGGAGCCCTAGAGCAAAGCTGTTGATTATTATACTCATGAGCTTGGTTTAAGTGTAGCTAGATGTCGGCAGATTATTCGACCCCAAAAAGTCAGAAAAAGACGAGACATGGCGTTATCTTGAAGTTGCGACAACTAACCTCAGTCACCGTACAAGAGCGCCACGGTGAGTACCAAGAAGAGTGGCATCCATCAGCGCTTGCTGCAGAGAATCTCTGCCAGAGATGTCCCAAACCAGCTACTTCTATTCTTCCAAGAACACGCTTCGTTGTCGATGTGTACACGTTTAACATTTTTTTATGAAACTACATTTAATGTGTGCGAACGGGTTCACAGTGGAACTGAGCTCTCGAAACGGTGCACACTTTTCTATCATTAAATATTTACCAGCTTCTGCAAAATGGCTGTGGACGGATCATTGCTACCTTATGTACCCATGCTGACATCTCCACGTGCGTATTTTAGCGATGACGATAAGTACCGAGTCATTCCAAACGCGTTGTCAATCGAAATCGACAGCGACTTAGCAGAATGCCCGTTACGAGTGCGTGTCCGCTCCCGCCGACTTCTCCTTTCAACAGGCGTGATTGTGACGTCCTTAGTCGCCCTACACGTGATTTGCTTTGACGAACGTATTGACTTCAGACCGTCACTGGCGAAATGAACGATCTTGTGTCTAAACAGATATTGACAAGTACAATTCATGGTCCGGTGGAGTCGTTACTATTATCACCAAACCAGTCGAGATATTTCTGCCTCTCGTCGTTGCCGCCGTGCTAATGACGAATATGAGCAGCTGGTACTTGTCTGCTGACACCAAACAACCGAGCTTGAAGCGCTTCAACCCGATCGTTGTCGCTGTTGGATGTGGGATGCAGCTCACCAACGGACTGTCCTCACTGAATGTTCAGCTAGTGAGGGGGGGGGGCAGCTACAAGACGACTCACCGTTGATGATCTTCGTATCGACGAGCAAGTATTAAGTAATAGATGACCATCTGATGGCTCTCTTACGACCACCTGGAGTAAGGCCTTCGCGGAAGACGCACCCAACAACTTGCTGTTAAATACCATTCTCCGATCGAAGTTGAAACCTTCCGAAGATATCCAACCACAATGTACACGGAACTATAGTCCTGGTCTTGATATCCAGCAGTCGCACTAACGCTGGACATTCCGACAAACGTATCGCAGGATAACTACACTATCACAAAAGCCGAAGATATGTGTGGAATAGACGGCTGTGCGCTCCGTCCATGATGGACGGACTCCATCGTATTCAAACGGGTCCTCTGCCACTCACCCCTTGGTTCATGCCAGTGCTATTTGCAAGGTATTTGGTTCGATAACAGACGCAAAAGGAGCCACATCATGTCTGGAGAGATCAAACACTTCCATGCTGGTTGTAAGTTCGGGCAAACGTGTTGTTGGGGAGACTTGAGACGGCCCTCGTGACAACGATGAAGACGTTCTTTTTCATTTTAACGGATTAAAGCTTATATTCTCACTCACAGTGGGTATATTGCACTGGGAAGTTGGTGATCTCGGGGCAGAGTGTGCTGCGGGCTCCTGTCGAGGCGTGCAAGCACCTATTGGTCCGAAGAAACCCACAGTGAGCGATGTATTAATTATGGGTGAGACGTTCTTGCCAACACTTGCTCTGGACTATTATTACTTTAACCGCAATAGTAAATTCGTTGCGTGGAAGACGATCGTGTCGTTGCGTTTCCCTCAGTCTCTTAAGATCGGAGACGCAGAGCTGCTGCTTCTCGTCGTTTCGCACTGGTAACAGAAGCTGCGGCCACCACACTTCAGGATCGCAGTTTGTCAGAATGCTACGACTTTTCCGACTAGTTTGTCCAGAACGTGGAAAAGAACCACCTGTACGCCGAGCAGAGCCTATAGATGGGGTACACAGCCGCGTTTTCTTTCCTCTTTGACACAGGTACTGCATACACTGAGCAATTAAGCCAATTTGGGTAGCAATGGCCTCCTACAGCTCTCGTTAATCGGTAACCAACCAACCTACAACGTGCAGGCATCCATTCCGCTTTTTAACATCATTCTCGCTTTGATTGGCTGTAGTGATAGCATCTGCCACTCAGCGGTATTCCAACCGGGTCGTTGGAGCGAATGGGAATGCAGAAACCATGCTTGAAGCACTGCTGAATGACAAGAAGTACCCATCGTGGCTTACAGACAAGGCGGTCGTGTACTTTTCACGACAACAGAAACGGTAATGATCCCCCTCGACACCGTTCATCAGCGCCAAGCTCATTGTGAATGATGATTGGGCAGAGCACCGACACTTGGGTTGATGCTACGTATTCACAAAACCGCAGAAGCTTTGTTTAAAATTTATTAAAAAGAATTATAGTAGTCATTTCATATCTTTATTATTGCTGATTTTTGAGAAGAACCTTCATGAAAACGCGTGTCACTGTTTGCACAGTATTGGATGATTGCGAAAAACTACTTTAGCAGTACATATTTTTAAAAAGTGCTGAAGAACTATAATACCACATAAACGAAGTACTTTGCTTGTAGAACATTTCCGTGAAGGGGCTGTACAGAAGAAACGGTCAAGTATAGCAGAAAATCCGCTAGAAATGCCTCGAAAGACACTTCTTTATTTTGGGTATACATAAACACAAGCCAGCTACCAGTGATGTGAGGAAATGAATAACGCGAAGTAGTTCTTGTTTTTCAGGCTCTTGGCATTAGCTTTTTAATGGACAGATGTATCCAAACTCGGGTGTGCTATACCAGTCGATGCCTTGTCGTCTACGCGACGTGGGCATGCAGAGATGTTTGCATTTTCTCTCTCCGCAGTCGATCGTGACTGCAGCTTCGATTGTAAATACCTCTGCAATCGATTCTCCTAGGGTCGAACTCAGGATTTGGTGCAGGAAGCATATTTGCGTTCACTTCGGCGCTGACTTGTGCTGCGCCGAGCACCATGGTAATGATTAACTTCTTGACAAATTTCATGCTGGTGTGTGCTGAGAATGCTGTCACTTTCAAGCCCAATTAAGGAATGAGCCTCGAGCAGGAGATTTGGACTGGCAGTAAACTTTACTGCCAGTCCATAGAGTTTACTGAGTAAACTTAATGGCAGCGATGGTGTTTTTCTCAATCACTTTATTGAAGTACTGTAAAATGGAAGTACAAAGGGGATAGATAGGAGGTGAGAAAAGCTCATTCGTAATCTTTTTGGCGATTGATCATTAGCCAGGAGGTTACATGTACTGTGCCGGGGTCACATAGCACCTTGCGCTAGAGGAACTTAGCTTCCGAGAGTATACAAACTCTCAGTGAACGGCAGTTCACAGGTCCCCTCTTTATTCAAAAGAGAGCGAAGGGACCTAATTTAGGTAGAATGTAAACTGAGTATATTTATAGGTAGATAAAGCTTGGGTTTAATACAAACTATAGGTCACCTATAGAAATGCAATGTCATCAACCAATGGACGACCTTGGTACCTAGTACCAAATATCCCGAAGTATGACGTGCCACACTTCATGTAGCCAGGGTACACTTAGGGCTACGTACCCCGTTACACCCTCCCCCAGTTACGTTCGGTTTACCGACCAATCAGAATGAAGAGGCATTCGTCACAAATTTTCATTTTCAAAGTCGAAAACCATCGACTTGGGCGGCGGAGGCTCACTTCACAGTTAGAGCCTCGAGCAGCAGTCTGTGCGCTCTTCTTCTAGGTCCCCACTTCGACTGTTTACCATGCCTCGTGGCACTGCAAAGAGCGGTGCGAAGACACGCTCCAAGGCTGCTGCCGAGAAGGCGCAAGCCAAGAGCACTAAGCCTCACGGCAAAGGCTCTGCACTCAAGGAGGCTACTCAGGTGGCCTCCGAGGCGATCGGTTTCTCAGGTGACGCGGCTGTGGGCAAGCGAACAAGCAAGCACCGCAGCCCCGTCGCTCTCGGTCTCTCCAGACAATCGTCTGTGGTGTTGGAATTCCCACGTGAACTCTAGCTACAAATGTAGTTAGGATGTTCCTACAACAATACGCCTACTAGGATAGTAAACGATCGTTCGGGCGGACCTGAAGACCCCAGTTCTGCCCTTGCACCGGGACAAGCTGGACCTTGTAAACTACTTATATAGGCCAACCAGTAAAATAAGAACACGCTACTAGCACGAGCAAAGCTAGCAGGTGTTTTGAATCCTCGAGGTCCCAACAGCGGAAGGGTACCAGGCACGGGTAAGCCTTTTACGAGATCACCGAGTGTTCAACACTCGGCTGGAAGAAATAAAGGGGAGGCAATTAAAGCACTCCCAGTCGTGCAAATAGGCAACTATAAGCCGTCACGTAAAACCTCCCGATAATAATCGGCCAATACACAAAGTCTCTTGGCCTTGCCGGATTACCCCTCGCTACAGAGCTTCGAGCTCACCGACAGGCATAACACACTCAAACAAGCTTGACCTGACGCTTACCTTGAAGCCGGACGTCGCTCTGTGTGCTTGAGTGGAAATTCTGTTCTGTATTTAAGCTTACCCTTTCGGGTCTATTCCTAATAAGAAGTCCTAATCAAGTATACAAATATCAAGTGAACAATGATCCGTTATGGATCTTCTTGCATGCCAAGCGTCGTCTGCACCGTCGCATGAGCATCTTTAACGGTCCGCGCCCTGTCCCAGACGGTGAAAGTGCCTTCCAAGGGTCGCGGAGACCTCTGCGAACTAATCCCAACCGCCACTGAGGGTTCGTACCGTAGATGGTCCGCTGAATGCGAATCCGGCCAGTCCATTATTAAAAATAAGGACAGCCTGGATTCAGTGACATAGGGCCGTATCCGATACTTGCTGAAAACTCGGAGGTGACGCCGTCGAGTCCCTTGCACCTTGGCGTCTCCGTACATCCTGACCGAGGGTTCGTCGCTTGAACATCTTGGGCGGTGTCACGTCTTTGTCGACGGGTGATAATCCGCAACTACGGAGAAATCACTACACCACACGTCCGAACCCTCGGCTCGTAGAGCGTGAGTTCAACTCTGGCAGTGAGGACGAAGCCGAGTCCGAGAGCACGCACGATGCTCCTGCGGGCTCTGCGGAAGGGCACAGCCCAGTGCCCAGTGAGCACAAGGATGACAACGTGCAGTCACTCGCTAGTGACCAAGATGGTCACAGCCCCAGAACGTCTGTGCGCTCTGAGCGTCCGGCCGTCAAGGCCAAGGGCACTCCCAAAGCTGGTGGCGTTGAGGAAGAGAATCCTCGCAAACGTCTCTCGCTTGCCGAGGGTCTTGCGCGTGCTAAGGCCTCTAAAACCGAAGGCGCCAAGCCCTCAAAGAAGCGTACAACCTCTAGGTCTCCACTCCGTGAGGAGAAGGAGACTCGGCACTCCCATCGGGACATCTTCGACTCCTCGGATGATGAGGATGAGAAGGAGGAAGAAGAGGAAGAGGAGGGTGCTATCGTTGAGACCCGGGAGGTCTCGAATGACCTCGACCAGCAGCAGGAGGAGTTCCAAGCTGCTTAGCGTGTGCGTGGGGGTTCGGTGGTGGCACCCGTCAGCCAGGGAGCTGCCATAAACGCAAGAGGGTATTGGCCTCCCGAGGAGAGCTCTGGGGCTGACCTCTTCCTAGAGATTCTCGTCGCTCCTCGTAACCTTGTGGGCGACCACACTTCTAGGGGCATTTACGAGCGTGCCCTTGTTCAGAAGGAACACTTGTTCGTTGACAACTTGGAGGCTGCTCGGTGTGTGCTTCTCGCGCCACACCGCATCCTTCTTAAGGACTTCACGACTTGTCGTAAGAAGCCCGAGACCCGGGGTGGTCTCTATCCTCTTGGGGATATCCCTGGGTTATGCCCGAGAACTGTCCCACCTGGGGTTCTTGTGAGGACATGTTCTGGGTGGGTAGAGTCTCTCAAGTAATCACCCACGGAGTTACGGGAACTCCATGAAGATCAGCAGCTGTCCCGCATCCTGGACCAGCGTGATCTTCGTGTTCGGTTTGCCTACTTGGTCAGCAAGCGCATGCTGCCAAGAGACATCCTGAAGTGTGCGGCTTCCAGCGCTCACGATGAGTGCGGGTACGGAGTGCATTCATCGTCCGTACCCCGTTCGGGCAAGAAGCCCCGGACTACTTATGAAGCTGCCGCCGCTTCTGTTCCCAGATTGCGACAGCCTTCGAGCCGTCAATCAGGAGCCGTTCAATCGGCTCCCACAAGTTCTCGGAGTGGGCATAACCCCTCCACTTCACGAGGAGCTGTCGCTTACCGCGACGCCGTTGCTCCTGGAGGATCCGCTCCACGTGGAGGTGGATTTCTCCATTCCGGTCAAGCAGGGGCGGAGGTGCCCTCGTACGAGTACGAGTACTCAGCACCTCCCGAGCGCTACTCTCGTCCGAGTGCTCCGGCTGCGGGTCCGACACAGGGCCCTGAGGTTGACCTCCTCCGTCAACATGTCCTCGTGCTTGAGATTGCACTTGGCCTTGGGACTGGCGGTGATGCTGCCGCCCAGGCCGGGAATCAGGGCGAGCTCGCTCGTCCTGCGGGTCGCCTGACCTGTTGGAGCGAGAGGTCGCGAGCCTGTATCTGCGGGTGGATCGCCGGGCCTCTTCGTCTGATCTGGACAAGGCCTTTCGCATGATCCGACGGATCGAGGCTCTGCTGCCACGTCCGGAGCCGCCTGCGGCACACTCCCAGACGTACGCGTATGGTGCGTACCCGACGTACTCAGCGTACTCGGCGTATGGCTCCGGGGTCCGTTCGTACGGAGCCCCTCCGGCGTAGGGTCTTGACCGCAGTTTTGCCGTTCCGACTGAGGC